ATGGATTTATGATATTTTCAAGAAGCACAAAGCCATCTCCTTTTGTGGATGTATTACTCAGATCTTCTTCACTCATGCTGTTGGGGCCGCTGAGATGGTACTGCTCATCACTATGGCCTTTGATAGATATGTGGCTATATGTAAACCTCTCCACTACCTGACTATCATGAGTCCAAGAATGTGTCTATACTGTTTAGTCACTTCCTGGATTGTTGGCTTTATCCATTCATTGATTCAATTAGTTTTTGTGGTAGATTTGCCTTTTTGTGGCCCTAATGTATTGGACAGTTTTTACTGTGACCTTCCTCGACTCCTTAGACTTGCCTGCACAAATACACTAGAACTGGAGTTCATGGTTACTGTCAATAGTGGGCTTATTTCTGTGGGATCTTTTGTCTTGCTGGTCATTTCCTACATATTTATTTTGTTCACTGTTTGGAAGCACTCTTCAGGTGGTTCATACAAGGCCCTCTCCACTTTGTCAGCTCATATCATTGTGGTGGTTTTGTTCTTTGGGCCCCTGATGTTTTTCTACACATGGCCTTCTCCCACATCACACCTGGACAAATATCTTGCTATTTTTGATGCATTTATCACTCCTTTTCTGAATCCAGTCATCTATACATTCAGGAACAAAGAAATGAAAATGGCAATAAAGAGATTGTGCAGTCGTCTTGTGCGTTACAGGAAGATTTCATAAATGAATTGGTTTTGATGATATGGAACTATAGATTCTCCCTCATGCTGGATGCAGAGAAAATATTATGCAATTTCAGAGAAATACTCAAGACTTAGGCCATGTTATATGCCTAGAGATCTAGTATCTATTAAATTATGGTATCTATCTCATCATTAAATTAGAAATGATGCTATTCTTTGACACTCTGTACATCAAAGTGTTAAAGACCAAATCATATGTCTTTTGTAACTTACATGGTCTAAGAAAGTGCCATGTAATTGAGAAAATAATAGTTTATCTTTTTTCTATTTTAGACAGATTATTCTATTGATAGATGGAATATGCATTCATATTATTTTCTTCTATTTACTACATAACTGTTTTGATTTTAATTTTCTTTTTTTCCTAATCTGCTACTTCTTATTTCCCCAGGCGCCCTCCGCCGCCGCCCGCTCCGCGCACTCCGCACCTCAGAATTTGACTTCAGCTCTGCGCCTCCTCTGAGTGTCCGTATGTGTTACTCTTTCCTCCTAGTTGTAGGACTTCCACTCAGCCACCGTTCCTGTGGTTCTGGATGATGTCCCTTGCGTCTTTTAGTTTCACTTTTGAAATGGTTGTTCGAGGCGGCAAACTCCGGCGTTAACCTATGCCGCCATCTTGGTTCTCCTCCTAAACCATTGCTTTAATTATTAAAAAATGTTTAAAATTCATTATTAACAGTATTTTTTGTCTACAGTGGTGTTCAGAGAGATCTTTGATTAAATTCTATTTTGTAGGCCTGAAGTTCCTCCCAAATATTTACAATTAATGATGTTCCTTTTTTTTGATGGGAAACAATGTGATTGATGAATTGTGTATTCTGCTTTAGTAAGTCACACTAAGATCATTGTGCTTCTCCCAGAAAAATAAATGTAAAATATTTCAATAAATAGAAAATAAAAGATTTATAAAATATGTGTGCAGGTTTTCTTTACCCAGAAATTGTGCAATCTAATCTAGGTATTGCTTTAAGTATTTTACCTTAAATTTTATGAAGCAGATATCCTCGTTAGCCCCATTTTACAGAGGAGGGATCTGAGGCACAAAGATGTTAAATGTTCTCAAGGTCACAATCTTCCAAAACTGAATCAGAAAGAATCAGAAAATCTGAATAGACAGATTACAACTAATGAATTTGAAGCAGTAATAAAAAAAAACTTCCAACAAGCAAATGTCCTGGACTGGATCGCTTCACAGGTGAATTTTACCAAACATCTAAAGAAGATCTAACACCAATCCTTCTCAAACTAGTCCAAAAAATTCAAGAGGAGGGAAGATTCCCAAGCTCTTTTGTACACTCAATACTTATATAATTGTATTAACCAATATCACACCAATAAATTAAATAAAAAAGGTCCTCAAGATCTATTGAGTAATAAGCCTGGCTCAAAGTGTTAGAGTGTGGATTCAGGATCTGTTATCCTAACTCCCACACTATGGATCTCTGATAATAAATAATACAATAACTTATTTAATTGAGAACAATTTCTATTTGTTAGCTTTCCACACAAAATGGGGACTCCATCACTCCCAAATGGAGGAGAGACTACAGCCTGGTTTGTTTATAGTTATGATGTTATGCTGTATGTAAATGGCCATTGCATTAAACTTTTCTCAGAGATTGCCTTGAAGAATAATGGTGAAGGAAAACCCTTCTAGTGGAAAGAAACTCAGGGAATACCTTTCATTGTACACTTTCTTTGGAAGGAAAGATGGCTTGTGGCACAAATCTTACCAATTTGTAAGCAGGACTAATGGTTTGTTTAGTTGTTCAGAGCCTAAGAAAGAATAAACTCATAAAACATTGGTGTTCTGGGGAGAGGTATGTAGGTGGGCTTCTCAGAAAAGCACAGAAAACGACAGTATTCATGACCATGTGAAATCCTATTAGGGGTTATTCACTCACTGTACAGGAACAAAAATACCTATCCCCGTGGATGTCAATCAGCTTCTTTCCCCAGCTGTTCTAGAACTGCTTAACTGGCACTAAAAGTGGCCATAGGAGCATAGTTGGCATCTCTGCATAAAATCAACAACATGAATTTCCCCTCATGCACATTTAAAGGGAACTAATTAGAGGAAATATTTTAATATTTATATTTGCCCTTTCTCTATAACAGAAGTGTCAGAGATGAAAGAAAATTAGTAAAATCTATATGAAAATCTCCCTCCTGTCAGAGTCTGGGCATGCCTCGGGACCCAGAGTCAAGTCCCGGCCCACTCGCGAGCTTCTCGAAATCACACGAGACCCAAACCCGGCCGGCCCCAGCCGCATCAAGCCCCACTGGGTGCGGGGGCACAGACTCTGGTCCCCTCGCCCTAGCCCTGGGGCTGCGGGCGCAGCCTTAGGTCCTCCAGCCCTGGCGCCAGGGTGTGGGGCCCGGCCTCCGGTCCCTTGGCCCAGCCTCAGGTCCCCAGGCTCCGGCCCTGGCATGAAGGTGCGAAGGTGCGAGGGTGCGAGGGTGTGACAACCATTTTCATATTAGCTTTTTATTATATAGGATGTCTTAAAGCTGTAATAGATGAAGCCAAGTAGAAAAAGTCACTCTAACAATAAGACCAAATAATTTATGGGTGAAATTCATGCTTCCTATTCTTCTTGTGAACTTTGGTTTATTAGGTTTGGAGATCCAGTATCCCAGGAAAGAATGTTTTAAAAGAGAACACAGCTGAGTCTAGTCTTTGACCACTTTGGGGCCCTTGTGAACTAGAGAGGAAAGTACCTGACTTTGACATTTGTGGGAACTGAGGCAAAAAATGGAAGTCCACGCCCTGGCCAGTGAGTCTCAGTTGGTTGGAGTTATTGTTCTGTGCCCCAGAAGGTTGTGGGTTCAATTCCTCAGGGCATATACCTAGGTTGTAGGTTCCATCCCCCGTTGGGGCATGTACAGGAGGCAACCAATCGGTGTATCTCTCTCACCTGCATGTCTCTGTCTCTCCCTCTTCTTTAAAATCAATAAAGAAAAAGAAAATTTATAAAGGAAGTCTACTAGTTATATGTTGAAATATTTGAAAGTTATAAATCAAAATAACAAAACTTTGATACAGTATGTTCTATCCATCTATGTTGATATATTTAACTAGAGGCTCATTGCACAACATTCGTGCACTGGGGTGGGGGCCCTCAGCCTGGCCTGCACCCTCTCACAGTCTGGGACCCCTCAGGGGATGACAATTCCCCTAAGCCAGCAGTCAGACATCCCCTGAGGGGTCCTTAGTGCTGCTGTGGAGGCGGGAGAGTCTCCTGCCACTGCTGTTGTACTTGCCAGCCATGAGCCTGGCTTCTGGCTGAGCGGTGCTCCTCCTGTGGGTGTGTACTGACTACCAGAGATCAGCTCCTGCATTGAGCATCTACCCCTTGGTGGTCAGTGGGTGTCATAGTGACCCGTCGTTCCACTGTTCAGTCGATTTGCATATTAGCCTTTTATTATATAGGACTAGAGGCTTGATAGCATGGGTTTCATGCAAAGGGCTCATCTCTTGCAGTCCTGGCTGCCTCCCTCTGCAGGGCAATAGATAGCAAAGGCTCCCCCCTCCGCATTGATTGCCCAAAGAGGGTGTTGGCTGCCTGTGGCACCACTGCCCCGCCCCCGCCCACTGGTCATTACGGAAGGTAGTTCCGCCGCCTGGTCTAATGACCATATTAGCTCTTTATTATATAAGATAATTATATGATAACTATGTATGCATATATATAGCAAATCCTGGAAAGTCAGGTTTGTGGAATTGGAGAAGTTCCCAAAGAAATTTGAAAAAATCTTCCTGGGTTTTAGGAACCAGACCTGATCTAGAAGGATAGGCATAAGCTCCAGGTAGAAATGTCTCTTTAGTTCCTTGAAATCTTCACACCATGGTGAAAGGTATGTCTGGGAAGGTGCCGGGGCTGACCAGCAGACCCTGGGCGACAGATGGACAGATTGTTCTGACACATGTTTCTATGAAAGAGAGGGCAAAGGGACTGTTTTACTTTAGTACTAAAAGTAGTCCTGTTTGCCTGCCTCACTGGCTTTTTACTGTAACAAGAGCTTGAACTCAAATTAACCTCTAGGTACAATCAGCAGGGTAGGTATCCTTGAGAAAGTATATGTTTCTAAAAGGTCAGGTCTTTAAAGACTAAACAGAGATTCTAGCAAAACACCTGGGGGATCGGACTTGTTTGGAAAAGTCAAGGTAGGGGCTGCTGCCTTCGGCAAGGTCCCCTCAGAGGCTCCTGACCTTTTGGAGAATCTTCCTTACAGACATTCCAACCAAGTCCCTTGCTCCCCACATAAGGGCCAATTTAGGGTCTTTTGTAGGACAAACACCAGGACAGGGAATTCTCCTATTTGGGTCTAAGAACAGTATTTATTGTTGGGTTGCCAGATCCCAATTATCAGGGGGAAATTTGAATTCTATTCCACAATGGGGACAAGTCCAGAATTCAGGGGCTTTATTGGAGTGCTTCTTAATACTCCTTTGCCCAGTGAAAAATAGTGGCATTCCATTAATCAAAGGATCATTTCAAGGCTAATAATCTACAGGAATAAAGTTTTGTTCATTCCACCAGGTACAGTACCTGTCCAGCCTAAGTACTGATAGAAGATAAGATGAAATGAGGAAAATTTTTATCAAATTAGGTCTCATGACCAGCTATACAAAAAGAGATTTTGATATTTATGTTTTATATTAATTATAATTTCTTCCCCCCTTTCCCTTACATAATTCATATGACGTACACTGGTGGATGCTAACATTTTGGGTTTAGATCACTCTGCAATAATTTAATAGCTAATTATTCTGTGATGCTCAATTTCTTCTGTTCTGATAGTATCTTACCTGCCCTATTTGTCCCTGGGATGAAAGACAAGGGTGGATGCAGAGAGAAAAGCACAGCTTCGGTTTGCTTCTTCAGTTCCACTTATCCCCTCTCCAACTGACTTTGTGCCTTTATTAAGCTCTTTCCCAGTTACTTAAGTGTGTCAATCCTTTTTGTCCTAGCAGGAACTGGACTGACACAAGTATACAAAACTGAAAGTCAAAATGCA